GTTACATGAGTATCCTACAAGTTGAACCTCTGAAAACCAGTACACTCTGGTCTGGCAACATCTGTGGTCTGGCAGGACTACGAATGCTCCTGGACCAGGAAGCCCGGGAGCCCAATGATAGGAGGGCCAACAGTCTGGTCCGGGTCAATGGGGCTACAGCCAGATAACCCCAGCAGCTGGGGGCTGAAGAAGCCTGGCCTCCCACAACAGTGTGGGGATGGAGAATCCTGGCAGCCCACGGCAGCGCAGAACTGGGAAGACTTGGCTGCCTGTGGCAGCGCAGGACCAAGGAACTGTGGCAGTGCAGAGTCAGAGGCTAAAGAATCGCAGCCACCTGCAGCAGCATGGGACCAGGGGCCAGAGAACCCTTTCAGCCTGCGGCAGCACAGAACTGGGAAAACCTGGCCCGCTAGAGAACTCCAGCAGCCTGTGGCATCCCAGAGTCAGGGGGCCGGTGGCAGCAGGGCAGACAACCTGGCTGGGGAGAGTGGGTAGAGGGGTCTGGCTGGCTAGGGGTTGGTGGGAGGGGGTACCTCCCCTGGTACGGAAAATTCTCTCGTTGGGGACCAGTCAGGTCCCAACATTACCGCACCAGGGAGGTCCAACCAGTATTAGCATTTCCAAAAGGCGCTTTTGAGTTTTATTTTAAAAATCTAACTTGATTTTTTGCCTCTTCAAACACATGTTGATGAACTGGTATGGACAGAGAATTTAGCAGTGATGGGAGGAATATGTTTTTTCTGAATTTCTGTGTTTGGCTATTCTGGAGGGACTGAGCTACTTCTGATCAAGTGTCTCCTCGAATACCACCTGGAGGCACATTAGCAAGAGTGTTGTACTGCCCCCCTGCTTTCTGTATCTGTTCTGTCAAATGGAGAGTTTGTTTCCCCAACTTATCCATGAGTCCAGTATGCATCACCAGTATCAAATTCACTTTCAAAAAATTGTTCTTATTCTTAAGAATGCCTCACAAAAGAACATCTATTGCTCCAATTTTTTTGTTTTTGTGCTGGGTGCTGAAGTTCAAGTTGAGTTCTCAAAGACTCTAACTTCCTTGTTGGCTAGACAAGCTCCTTTCATTTCATTTGTGTTTGTTTACAAAGCTGGCAGATCTTTTTACCATCCACACAGTTTTAAAATAATTAATATCAGTTTGATTTTATCAACAGCTGGCATAGTTTTGCTTACACATGTAGTAAAGTGTGTGTCTGTTGTAGTTTAATTCATTGTTTACTTTTTAAATACATATGCGTTTTTAGCAATTTGTGATTATAAAATTATCTACTGTAATATAAAAATAAAAAGCAGCCTTTCTGCCCATGTGAACTTACTGCTGTACGGCTGTGTTATGAGGTATAATTAAATATGGTTTATTGGGTTTTTTTTCTGAAAATTAGTAAGTAACCTATTTGCATAAGGGAGAACAAACAAAATGGCCTTTTGGTTATTTGCTTCTTGGATACATAGAGTGGACTCAAAAGGTTTTTCACTGATTTAATTTATGGATAATTAGAGAATTAATAGGAGTATTACATTGCAAACAGCAAGGAAGTCAAAGCTCAGGATTCATGATGGGAAGAGACTGCGAGTCAGAGGCTACATCGACACTAGCACTTTTGTCTCTGTAACTTACATTGCTCAGAGGTTTGGAAAAAACACCTCCCTGATGTGTAACAAAGGCAGAAGTGCCATGTGGGCAACATTCAACATAGCTACTGTATTCATTTGATGTGGTTTAATTTTGTCATGTCAATGGGCGAGCTTTCTCCTATCAGCATAGAACAGCTACACGAGTAATCTTACATCAACACAGCTATGCTTCTGTATCTGAGCTGCTGTATGCTCGCTAGTGTAGACATTGCTAGTCTGTTTAAAAGTTTGTTTTAATTAGCAAGTGTCTAAACCAGTTGCCTAACAAACCGTGAGAGGAAAGAATTTTGTTAGCCATGGGATATTTAAAAAACACTGCAGTGATCCTTCCTCCCTTCCCTTAAACACTGTTGAAAATCTCATCTCCAAAAGATTCAAACCTGCCCGATACCTATCTCTTCAGTCTAGGGCTGAGAGAGCTGTTACTCCAGTTCCTTCTCTTGTCCAAGGAGACCTCCTTAATGAGGCAGATTTATATGCTTAAGGTTAAGTGCAAGCGGGGAAAAATCTCCTAGACTGCCTTTATACATTACATTTTTTTTAAAAAGCCAAAAGAGGGTCATAAACCCATTGTTGTCCTTTACAGGTCACCTATAAAGGGCTTCTGTTAAGGAAGGTAGGTCTAAGATGAGATCTAGTATGTCTGGTTTGATTTGCAGGCACGGGCAAGCATGTGACTCTTGACCCCTGGGTTACCTTCCGGAAGCAGGCAAGGCACAGATGCATGCAGCTTGTCTTTGTTAAATGCCGATTGTATGAAGAATGAGAGTCTGATGCATTTAAATACCTTGCCCAGCCATAGGAATTGAGCTGCATATACAGTATGACATTATCACCCATGTTAAGAAAAAGTACAGTCCTGTGAGCCTAAAGAAGCCAGTCTTGGTTTAATAGAAACCCGCATAGTAGTCTGGGCATGTTGCTGTGCTCAGTTCAGAAACCAGATAGATATTTTTTTTTGTTTTATTTTATTTTTTTGGACAAAGGCATCTGTAGTGTTGGAGTAGGTTATTTTGGCCCTGTTTCCCTAAACACTATTACATTTTCCAATCTCTGTGGTGCATGCTTTACCTGTGATTAAATATTGGTTCTCTGCTTCTGTGTGCTGCTACTCTGCTTTTCATTTTCTGGCCTACCCCCTCTTTTATTAGAGCTGGAAAAAAATAATGGTTCTGCTTGGACTTTATCATTGCAGGGAGCCAGGACATGTGACTCCTTGAAATGAAGAATAAGGAACATGAGAGTGAAGTCATAGATCAGCGCCTGACTGAGGCAAGAAGGATGATGGATAAGCTTCGTGCTTGCATTGTGGCTAATTATTATGCTTCTCCTGGTCTCCTTAAAGTTGGAGAGGGAGCCACGACATGTGACTTTATGGTTTTTAATCATCCTTCAATCAAGAAGTTCTTGGAATCACCATCAAGATCATCATCTCCTGCTAATCATGGATCAGAAACTCCATCTGGTAACCATTCAGAAAGTGACTCTTTAGCTCAGCACAATGACTTCCTCCAGGACAAAGACAATGGCAGTCTGGACATGGAAGAGCGATTGGCAAACAATCTGGATCAGAGACCAAGCAGAAATACTGGACGGGTAACGTAAAACTGTGAAAAGAGGGTGGGCAGTAGGACAGAAGATGTGTGTGATCACATAACTTCCTTCCCAACTACCTGGAGTGTAGGCTGGGCCAGCATCAGCCGGGGAGAGGATGAGGAGTATATTTTTGTCCACCCTGCTCTGAGATTGTCTGGCTTAGGTCATTTGACTCTGACTTGGGTCATTTGACTCGGGTTGGCCTGCTGCGGGGCTATAAATTTTCAGTGTAGGCACTCTGGCTGGGGCCTGGCCTCTGAGACCCTAGTTATCAGCAACCAGGCTTCCGCTGGCGACTGGAATGTGTGTACTGTAATTTTATAGCCCTGCAGTTCAAGCCTGTGACTCTGTCTGTTTTCATATGATCACAAACATCAGCTGTTCCCCTGTTTTCAGTCTGGTCAGTTGTCAGCTACCTTGTTCAGAGAAATAGAAACAAATTAATTCCCTGTTCCTGGGGGTTGTAAGTTAATTTGTGAATAGTAGCAAATGGTCCCTCCACCTCCAGAGAAATAGACTCCTCGTAAGTAGTCCCAAATAACTTCCCTTTACCCTGTGTAAAGGTCTCTACTAGTCTGTACCCAGCTGCTCTGCAGGGATAGCATAATTAACCTACCTTTGTATCCATTTCCTTTCTGGCTGCAGCCAGAATGCTGCCAGCAGTGTGGGATCTGTTTTTCCCCATTGTGCCAAGGAAATTGTTCAGCTCTTAAAAATTCCTGGTCTTAAGCTTATGAAGAATCACGTGAGGATCTCACAGTCCTTTTACCAATAAGGCAGTACAGATTATTGCGAGGCAGGCAGTACTCTTTATTTTTCAGAGAGAATTCTCAGACTTGGTTGGGGTCTCAGATTGGCTGCATAGCTAGCAAAGAAACCAAGGAGTTCCTGGTACTCCCCCCACCCTAACCCATTACATAGCATTGCCTAGACCAGTGTTTCTCAACCTTTTTTTTATAAATACCCTTTAAAAAAAAAAAGTACTTCCAGTACCTACAGTTTTCAGACACCCACATTTTTTTTCCTCTGCTGTTGCAACAAATTTGTTTAAACAACTTAATCGTAGCCGGGTGAGCAATGACATTTTTGGGTGTAAAAAGTTCAAAAATAATAAAATGCTGTAAAACTTAAAACAAAAATTCAGTATTCTCCAAATTTCAGTTAACTCAAGACTTCTCTCAAGTATCCTTAAGGGTACTCGTACCACTGGTTGAGAAACACCGGCCTAGACCGAGGCATGATTGTTTAATAACATAGAGGCTAATTATTTAGATCTGCCCCAAGAGTCCTGTAAAGAATGTTTCCATTTTCAAAGGAAGAAATGAGTCATAGTTGCAGCAGACTCTTTAATCAATGTCAGTGATGGGCAGACCCATTGAAATTAGTTGAATTCTGCAGTTTGGAGAGTAGCAGTAATCAGTGATGGAAATAACCAATTCTGCACATGAAGTAGAATAATGCCCATTGCTCCCAGAGTTAACAGGGAGACAGACCAGTACCATTGATCAAGTAGCAGGGCACTGGTGCTGTTTTGGAGAATGGTCTGATGGTGACTGAGAGTGTGTCTACACTTGCACCCTAGTTCGAACTAGGGATGCAAATGAAGGCATTCAAAATAGTCAATGAAGCGGGGATTTAAATATCCCGCGCTTCACTGGCATGATCTCACCGGCGTGCTAGTTCGAATCGCAGCTGATTCGATCCAGGAAGTGCGTGCCTGGACGCGTTAGTTTGAACCAAACCCCTTGGTTTGAACTAACGCACCCCAGCGCGCACTTCCTGAGTAACGAATGAGGAGTAACGTTAGTTCGAACCAAGGGATTGGGTTGCAGGGTCAGGGAGGCACTTACCTGAGCCAGCAACCCTGCAGCATCCCCATGGCAGGCTAGGCTCCTTGCCTGCTGTAGCCCCAGAGCATTGAAAATAAAGCCTGCTCCCTCCATGTGGCTCTCAGCTCCAGGAGCGGGGAGAAGCTTGCGCTACCCCCATCCCTCAGGCCAGTCTCCCAGTTCCTATTGGCTGATTGTTTCTGACCAATAGGAGCTGAGGATTGGGCTGGGGCAGGGAGATCACCGAAGCCTCCCCCTGCCTCCAGAGCAGAGAGGTACATGGAACAGCCCTGCGTTTAAAACAGTGCCTGCTGCGTGCCTAAGGATTCGGGGGGGTGGGGGCATCCGCGGGCTGGATCTGGCCCATGAGAGGTCTCAGATCATCTGCCCACCCCTGGTGTAACTGCTAAGATTTTTAATAGTTACACAGTTACTTAACTCTTTTTAACATCCCTAGTGGGTCACTTAGGTTGTGTATTATATCAGAAGATTGCTGTGGGTTCACTGGCTTTATTTAGATGTTGGGGCTATGTCAGGGGAACCCTAAGGCTTTCCTGGATCCAGCTCCTGAGGCTCAGGGCTTTTCCCCATCCCCAGCATTAGGCAGCCTGCACTGTTTTGTTGTTTTAGTTTTTTGTTTGTTTGTATGTTTTGCTTCTCACTTGTGTGCAGCCCCTGACTGATTTATCTGTGGTTGAGTGATTCCCCACCCCTGAGCTATGTTGTTGTTGGCCATCATTCTAACTGGTGTGGGGCCAAACTTTTCTTCCAGACACATGCCTGGCACTTGCATTGAAGTAGAGGTCTTGGATGGCAGAATTTGGCTCTTTAGAGATGAGGGCAAGATTTTAAAAGAACATGATTTTTGGATGCCCAAGTTGACTCTTGAAAGGATCTATATTTTCAGACAACAGCACTTTCTGAAAATAAAGTATATTGAGGATGTCTTGAGGTGGCCATCCAAATGAATTAGTTGCAGTGGTCAAATATGAGCCCAGACCAATTGTGTGTCAGATAACTGGAACCCACTTTTGCCATATAGTGTTCATTTGCTGTATACATGAATTACTTGAAAATGGTCAGTTAGCATTTTGAGTGTATCTGTTGTAAAACGATTCTCTGTTCTCTCATTTTAATTCTGTGGGTTTCTTTCTAAACAGCAGCTTGCTTTCAAGTACCAAAAGACCATGTTTGCAAAGTAGATATTTCCTCTTTTCACCCCTCAGGATGCTTCTGGTGTTACAAGCTCTCACAAAATAGGCCAGCGAAAGGCTGGTCTGTTAAATGATGAGACTTCACGACTCTATGTGAAGAAAACAATCGTAGTCGGCAACGTCTCCAAGTTAGTATCTAAGGCATTGCTAATTATTTTAATTTCTAGTCGTTGATTTGAATTGTGGATCGAAGTTCAGAAGCAATTAAAAATCACTGTTGGATCAGAGTGAAGGTATCAGCTCTATGAGGCGCACACAGCTGTACCAGCACTCTAGTTCATAATCTTGCTATTGGGTGTGAGCAATAGCTGATGCTTATTGTAGTAATGTGTGGAGTTTGACTCTCTGCACCTGCTTCAAAGCTAAGTGTCTTAAAAATTGCTTTGTCCCAATCAGTTCTTCCAACCTATCACTTGGAAGTGCTAAGCCCTGATTCTGCAATAGGGTCTGCCCAGAAATCACCTGAGACCCCACAGGGCTCTAGTTACAGGATCAGAGCTATGGTTTGGTAAAGGTAGGAGCCACTTTTTGATGAGAGATAGTCAGAGCTGGACTAAGACAGTAGCACTGCACTAATTCTGTGATTCCCACCGTGGTAAGAGATGCAAGCATAGTTGTGTGCTATATGGTAACTTTTGGAAATGTCATTGAATTAAGGTGAAGACAAATTTAGAAAATGCTATTTCATGTTTTTTTGAGTCACATTGAGCAGTGTTACTGTCAAAATTCTTTCAAAGCTGCTTAATATTGTTCAAGTTCTCAAAATCGGCATGGTTTAAACATAATGCAAGCATGCACTGTGTATTTTCCCTTGCCTTCTATTACTAGTATATCTTACCTCTGGCAAGAACTGGTTAAAAAAAATGTCACAGAAATTTTGACAACTCAAACTGCTTTTAAATTCCATTGTTTTCCAAAACCAGTTTTTCATTTTTCAGAATGTTAAATATTTTTTTCCAAAATCAGAATTTTTCAAAAATAGAATTCCTCTATTCTGGATTAGCAAGTGCCCTGTGTGACTAAGATAACCAATCAAATTGACAGTACAAAAAGGATTAAACCAACACCAAAATAGCTGGGGGCAGAAGGAAAGAGACCTCATTTAGATTAAAAAAAAGGATACTTATGGTGATTCTGCTAAAGTTTCTGGAGAAATTTTTCATAACTCTGGAAGTTTTTAAAAAAGTAGTATTTTCTCAAAGTTGAGGATTAAGTTTCGATGGAAAAAAAAATTAGTTTTGGAAAACTTTGAACAGCTTTACTTCTGGCCTCAGCTGCAGCACTATTCGTGTCAGGGTATTTTTCTCAGCATGGAAAGTATTATATTGGTGGTGAATGTTGGATGTTTTTCTTAGCACTACAGATGGATCTAAAAACATAAATGCTGAGAAATCTGAGTCCAAATCTTGACTTTGAGAGGGTGGTTAAGACCTGTAGTTCATTTTAAATTAAGATGGATGGATGGATGTATTATGGTAGAATTCTTACCAATCTGGTGTTTGGGGGAAAAAAATGATTTCAAGGTGATTTACATCTCCAAAAAATTCCTCTCACTGCTGGTGAAGGGTTAAAATTAACTCCCCTAATTAGAAAACAAAGATTAGATATTGGAAATTTACAAAGACATAATTCACAGAAATATATATTGATACCAACGAGTAGAGTTAAAGCAAAGAGTATAAATGTCCATAAGAGAGCCATTCAGGACTTGATGAAATGCTGGATGATGCAATTAATATGTTCCAGATGTGCCTAGTTGGATAGGCCTTTTACTGGTACTAAAACTCTTGCAGATTGACCCCAGAATCTTCTGTGTATGTAAATGTACTTATTTTTATTATTTTATTTTTGTTTTTTCTGCCAGGTATATTCCTCCTGACAAGAGAGAGGAGAATGATCAGTCAACTCATAAATGGATGGTGTATGTACGAGGCTCTCGGCGAGAACCCAGCATAAATCATTTTGTCAAAAAAGTCTGGTTCTTCCTTCATCCCAGTTACAAACCTAACGACCTGGTGGAGGTCAGGTAATCAAGAATTACTGGAATCTTTGAGATTATCAAGATTGATATACTGAAATTCTATGCATGTTGGATTTTAACTTACCTTCGAACTTGCTTAACTAGCTAATTCTCCAGGTGTTTATCAGCACTTGTAAATTGATATGCTGCAGTTTTGCAAAACACATACCAAGTTATTTTAACAGATTAGAGACCCTTTTGCACTGGAGAGAAATGTAAACTTCTGTATTTCAGATAAGCAGTATGATCTTGTATATTTGTTGTTTTCATTACATCACTTACATTGCAAGTTTGGCTGCATGCCAGACCAAACAGATGTCCTCTCCAACCCAGTCCAATGTGAAAAGTCCATTTTTCTTTGCCAGAGTGGTGTGGTGTGTTTTTTTTTTTGTTTTTTTTTTTTTAAAGAATTCCCACTTGTTTTAAGATACTTGTGTGGTTCAGTAATGGGCTTTTTCCTCAAATACCTGTCTCCTGCTTTCTTCTGTTGTGTACTCATAATCTTGGATTTAGTCTCATGCTTTGAAGAATGATTCTACTATAACAACATGGCTATGTTGACACTGGAGAAACAGGGTGCCAAATGTAACACTGTCAACATTTCCTCCCCTAAACCATTGTTGAAGAATATTGCTCCACTGAGGTCAGCAGGGTAAACTACAGGACTTTTTCTCAGTGGAGATTTCCACTTCTTTTTCTGCCACTAAGACATGAGTGTCAATCTTATTAGGAAAGTAACTCTGGTGTACATTGGCTTCAGTTTTTCTGCAAGACTTCTGCAAGCTCATTTTAAAACAGTGGTGTGAAACCACTGTAGATGGTGGTTTTTAATATGAGCTATTTCTCTCTCTGTTCCTTCTCTCTGTCTGGGAAACAACTATCTGACATCCATTTTCACTTTTTTCACACTCCCTCAGTGAAAGTGCTAAGCAAATGAGGTGTGGGTACCTGCATTCCTTCCCTACTGGTAAATTAACAACCCTCATTCCCATTATTGACTTATGACCTGGAAGTCTGTACACATGGCCAGTATCTGTTAGACTGGGTTGCTCCTGAGAAGTCTGGATTGAGGGAGTGGGAGCAGGGATGGGGATCTATCCTAGCCTCTAGGACTGATGTACATGAAACTCCATGCTGATATACATTCATGGTTTCCTCTTTTATAATACTCTCTCTAACATCTGTCCCTTCAACTGGGATGTACTTCATATAAAATGTGTGGGAACCTAAGGCCCGGGGACTGGATGTGGCCCTTTGCTCACCTGGATTGGGTCCTTGGGGTTCCCCCCAGGATTGGAGAGCCTGTGCTGGCACTTCATCCCTCTTCCCCCTCCCCTGCTATTTCCCTCTGGGGTTGGAGCACACACAATATACTAGCCTGGGTCCCCATCCCCCCCAGGCTCTGTTGTGCAAGGGGAACGTGGAGAGTGTCTTTCTGCTTCTCAGTTGGAGGCCACATCAGTGAGAGGTTTTTCCCCCTTCTCAGTCTCCTACTGACTTTTCTGGGAGTCAGCGGTCCCCTGTCCTATAAAAGGACAACCCTGCCACCGCCCAGAGTAAAGTCCAGAAGTATTCAGGGAAAGATATGTTAAAAAAATGAGGTTATTTTGGTCTTGTCTGCCAGTAGAGCCCTACAAATCTGCAGATATCCTTTTTACATACATGGCCTGTGGATCATTTTTGTCTATCACCACTATAATGTCTTTTATGAGTAGCTAGATTGTAGGAGGGAAAGACTGATAATTCTGCATGGGAAAGTCAGCTTGCAACAGTGTTAAATGGCACTGATTTTCACCAGAATGGATCATCTGGCATTATGCTGCCAGGTATTGAAGAACTAATTCTACTACTTTCTCTGCTGGCATATGTTCACCATTTTGAAATAATTTTCTTCTGTCTTTGCCCATGCAAAAAGATGTCTGCAGCCATCTGCTTAGACTTCATGGTCTTTCTGATGGAAAGTGGAATTAAGGCTCATATGTAGCCAATGGGAAAAGCATTGTTTAGTTAGACGAACAGATGGATCTGGAAGATGCAGTGCTCATGTCTGTAATGTGAATTTCTGTTTATTTTCAGAGAGCCTCCATTTCATCTGACCAGACGAGGCTGGGGAGAATTTCCAGTGAGGGTTCAGATTCACTTCAAGGACAGCCAGAACAAGAGGATCGATATCATACACAATCTGAAGGTACTTGAATAGAATTGCTAGTATGAAGGGTGTGTTTGGCCTCCCTCTGATGTCTGCCTAGGGAGCATACGAGATGGAGATAGAAAATAAAGGAAAGGCATTGATATTGGCCATGTAAGAGGTGAGGTTCCATTGGGGGCATCCGGAGTCTCAGGAGGAAGCAAAGCATTTACTTGCTTTAACCTGTGATTTGTGTTTTTATCATGTCATCAATTTTAACTTGCTAGGTTTTGAATCAGGGTATCTTTCTCTCCTTATGGAATGCTGGTTCTATATGGTCCTTTCCCTAAGCCTGACCTGCGGCTATCAAAGATCTGCAGCCTGACCACTAGACTCAACCTGTTGTTGGAAGGATGAGAAGGGAAAGCCCAGAATGCTCATTTGTTTCTCACAGGCCTAACTCTTCAAAAAGGAAGATTTATGTAGAGGATTTATGGGTACATGACCATTCCTTCTGGGGGTGGACATGACTTTTTTCTTTTTATAATTACTTGAGTCTAACTGTAGTAGAATTCACTTGTTACCCTTCCCTTATCATTATTCTTAGTTGTCCTCTGAACTTTCACTGCACTATTAGTTTGACTTGGGTCTTGTCTGTTTTAAGGAAAGTCTCACCAGTGTTGTTACGTCGACGCACACTCGTGATTTAGGCAGTAGGGCTGGCTGAAAACTCCATGCCAACTGGTGTTTGGATTTTTTTTTTTTGACTAAATGAAACTTTCTGCTGAAATCCTGGAAAACTGAAATAAATAATCTGATTCTGAATTGCCATTGCTGTGCCACCTGGGAGTTGTAGGTCAAGTGCCCTATGCTCCCCTTCTCTCTGGGCAGGATCCCTAGCTGCACTTCATCTCCAGATCTGCAAGGTGACCCTATGCACAGCGTTCCCCTTCCATGAGGAGTTGGTTAAAAAGGGCATGTCTCTAAGGCTAAAGACATGAGACAATACCATGGTGCATTCTGGGAGATGTCTGACCAGTGAATGTGACCTACAGAATGAATGGGAGCCTGAAGCCTGGGCAGAGGCAGCAGAGTGGGGAAGGAGACGGGAGCCAATGCATGTGGGGAGCTGGCTCCTGTGGGGAGGGGGGCGGCAGGCAGGAGCTGGTACACGCAGGAAGCCAGCTTTCAAGCTGCCTCCCTGCACATACTAGCTCCCATGGAGTGGCCTCTGCTGTCTCTGATACAGAATTCTTTCTGATGCAGAGATAGCAGTGTGGAAGGGTAGGGCAGGGGGGAGCTGCCTGTGAGCACCTGCTCCCATCTGCCCCCTGCGTTTAAACATGTAACTGCTAAAAATTTCAGCAATCGCACATTTACAAAAATAACATGAACATCCCTAATCAATGTAAACCCTGCTTTGTGCCGGTACCACATATCTGTGGTGAGGGATTGCATATTGGTGCATGGGGCCTTAATTTGGCATGAATTCTTTTGAAGTTTATATGGCTCAAGGAGTCTCTGCTACTGGGTTCTTTGTCAGCTGGTGTCACAGTTTTCATTGAAACTTCCTGTTTCTTATCTACTGCTAGAAAACTGGATAAGGTGACTTCAGTGATGTAGCTGGCCTTAGGATAAACTAACCAATAACAAAAATTCCACTTAATGATGCTGCTGCAAATAATTGATATTATTTCATATTCTTTTGTTTAAATTTATGCAAATAATAAAAAGAACATGCCTCTAAGGCTAGAGACATTAGTACCTTCAATTATTTTTATGGACTTAATTAAAATTAATTACTCCAGAATGCCAGTCTCCCTACCCCTAAAGATCTCTGTCTGTCTGGCTCTCCCAGCTCCATCTTCCCAATGCCCCACCCCTCTCTGTGGCAGCAAGGTTTTTCAGCTCACTCAAAATGCAAATGTTGCTACTTGCCAAAGAAAATGTGATCTCTAGCTTTGATAAATTTGATAAGTCACTGCTCGGTTACAGAATCACAGTTTATTTTAATTAGGAACTTGCTGCTGTGTTATTTCAGAAACAATTATTTGTTAACTTTAGCTAAAATAATATTTAACATGTTACAATGTATTTACTCATCTAATTGTTTTCCACAGTTGGACAGAACTTATACTGGCTTGCAGACTCTTGGTGCAGAAACAGTGAGTTACTAAGTTGTAGAGTGGAAACATTTTTTGTTATAAATATCACCTTTCATGGACTGAACACTTTGCAAAGTAAGATGTTTAGTACTGGAATTGTAGTGACAGTAGCCAAGTAAAATTGTACCGTAGTTTAACCTTTCATAATAAAAGCATGGAAGCTCCTTAAATAGCTTTGTGAGAAGTAAAAACTATTATCCTTGTTGTTAATCCACAAGTTCTGTCCCACCTTTTATTTAGTTGTGACATTTTGAGCATCTTTTCCAGACCTGAAGAATAGCTCTGTATAGCTCAAAAGCTGATATTTCGCCAACAGAAATTGGTCCATCTCCCAACTTGTGTGTCTAATATCCTAGAACCAACATGGCTACAACAACACTGCACACTGTCTCTTTTTGTAACAATAGAATAGATTTGTATTACAAAATTAAATGATAAAGCAACTCTGGAAAGTGACTTCACTTCCCTTAAGTCATGATATTTCATCTTCGTTATTTTGAAGAGAAATGTAGTCAGGTACATTTAAGAGAAGCAAACTTTCCATGTAAATAGTGTATGGGTACCATGTTCGTTAAAAGTTCAGTTGAATGAGCTTAACATGAAAACAAAACACACAGAAATCTAGCACACTAGTATAAAAATGAGTTACAGAAAGGAATGAATAACCCCCTGCTTGCTGCACTTGCCAACCCCCCTCTCACAGGGGGTAGGCAACCCCAGCTTTCCCCTCTGGACACCAGGGAGGGCTGGGCTATGGCTGTGCCATCCTGGATCCTCTCTCCACCCCCTCCCTCGGCCAGCCAGGCCCCTTCTCTGCCCCCTCCCCACCCCCAACCCTAACCCTTCTTCCTCTCCACGTTCGTCCCTCCCCCGCCCATCCCAGCCACGGTGCACACCAGCCCCAGCTCTAGCCCTGGCAGCAAGGAAGGTGCAGGGGTGCCTGCTTGCCCTGCATGGGACGCAGTGAGGCACAGGCAGTGCTGTGTGCACATGGTGCTCCGGGGCACTGCAGCCTGCTGAGATGGGAAAAGCAGCAGCATGGGGGGTGCTGTCCTGACCTCTTCCCTGTGTGTTCCCACCTTCACTGCTCACTGCCCCAGCCCTGCCTGGAAAGCCCGGAGCTGCCTGCTCCCCCACCAGGAGTTGAAGGGAAGGAGCTGACTGGTCGGTGCGGCAGCTCCCCCAGGCAGGTTGGGGGTTCTCTGGAAACTGCAGTATGTTCAGCCACTGGGGAGGGGGGTGTGTCTCTTCAGGGGCAGCTAGACTCGATGGGTGGACACCGTGCTCCAGCTCCCCAAGAGCCTGCTGCTGGCACATAAGCCCGGCTGGGAGCCCCACTCCTAGCGCCTATCCCTGGGCTGCTGTCCTGAGGACCATACTTCTCCCCCACCCCGGGCTGCCATGGCTGCAGTGGGGGGTCTGCTGGCTATTGTGCCATGTTTCTTGGTGTTGAAAGCCCTGTGTGTGGGGGTGGAACAAGGGGACTAAGGGCTTGGTTTAAGATTCCAAGTGGTGAGGGGAAGCAGCGAGGTCGGGCTTCAGCTGGGAGGAGGGGGAGAGTGATGTGATGACATCATTCCGTCGTCCCCCAGGAACTTTTGTGTACACACACATACAGGGCTCGACAAATAGTGTAATCTACTCGCCCATGGCGAGTAGATTACACCCTGAAAGAGCTGGCACAGAACTGCACGGCTGGTGAGTGGGGCTCAGCGAGCCGTGTGTCTGTGTCTACACACACGTGCGCGCACGCTCGCCAAACCGCGGTGAGCCCCTCTCGCCAGCTGTGCTGTCCGGCGATCTGCTCATGCAGATCTGCACAGATTATTCTGCACATGCACAGGTCGCCCAAACCCGTCTCTTCCACTTTGTAATCTACTCACCATGGGCAAGTAGATTGCATTATTTGTTGAGCCGTGTGTGGGTGTGAGAGACAGACAGGTGAAGCCAGTGGCCAGCAAATGAACTGCAGATTGGACCCTGGTCCCGCACCCTCGGGGCCTTACAGGTCCCAGATGAAGGATTTTGCTGGACCACAGGAGGTCATTTCTGGCCCCCCTGCTGCTGGCTCCACACTCCAAGTGCCGCCACACCAAGCTTCCCAGTTCCCCCAGTCAGTCCAATTGCCCTGGCAGTGCAGCAGCTTCCTGGCCCCCATGCAGTCCAGCTCAGCCACATCCCACCTCCTGCCTCCCCCTGCAGCTCTCTGGGGCCCGAGCCTGTTGTGTTTAGTTGAACTTTTTTTATAGTATATGTGGCAACATAGTTTAGTGGTGTGGTAGAGCTTAAGACTATCAAAGTAAAGACAAGTTTCTATTTTAGACTTGAATAAGTCACTTAACCTCATAAATCATAGTCTGTTATTTCTAATTTTGTTTTTTCCTCTGTTTTACAAAATTGAAAGATTTTTCTATGGAGTTGCATGATCTCAGCTTCAGTGAAGTAGATTGTAATGTAAGCTTTCTCAAGAAAGTTGGGATCATTTTTGAAGAGTAAATTAAATGTTGTAGTATACGTTTCAGAGGATTTCCAAATCTAGGGTACAAGGTTAGCTTCTGCATTCAGATCTGATAAGCACATATCCCTGCACTGTGCGGATCCTACTAACTTTAATGGGACATCATGTGGATTAATTGTTCAGGATCTGGTCCTATGCTTGTAGGAACTTTGCCTGATGGTGCTCACTGTTCAGAATTCTGTGGTAGATGTGTGTCACTTTGTTGTGGATATTTAATACCAGAAATCATTGTATTTTTCTAAGTCTTGTTGTAAGCAGAACATCTGGAAGACATTTGCCTGGGCAGGTTCTTTTGAAATCAATGGTAGTTCCATGTGCAGAGTGCTTGCAGGCTTTGGCTAAGTTGTACTGAGTTTTTTAGAGTCAGTGTTTGAACTTGTCCATTGCCAAGTGCATAGCTTATCATAATCCTTTCATCTCTCTCTGGAAGGTAGTGGATGTTGAGCTTCATCGACATTCTCTTGGAGAAGATTATCTCTGTTCCCAGTCTTCTGAATCTGACCTCTCTGATATCCCCACATCTGTACCATTACCACTAAGTATATCGGCGCCAGTGAAAGCTTCTTCACCAATTAAACAGTTACTTGAGCCCATTCTAGATGCTTCTGTGGACAAAGGTAAAGTAAACCGGTATTTGTGTTTTCTAATTTGGTTTTGAATACATGGCTATTAGTGATGCTGTGGCTGTTACTTCTGCTAAGGGATCACAGTCTTCCTCCACCCCACTCCCAAAGACCACAGCTGGCATTTTTGAAGTTGCCTTGTCAGTACAGCAAGGTAAACTCCTGCACCTGAGGGCAGGCAGAACGAGGCAGGCAGCATGCTGGGTCAGTGCCAAGTGCGCGCCTGCCGCGGGGGGGGGGCGGGGGGGGGGGGGGGGGGGGGGGCCACTAGGACCCAGAGTGTAGAAAATTGTCTGCTGCTGATGCATACGTATTCTCTCTGCAGTACAATGAGAGTAGTAGAACAGGAAGAAGGCAGAATTGAGACCTTTCAAAGTTTTGACCCAAATAAGGGGGCATGGAGGGTGTCATTTGAGCTCCCTGCCTCAGGTGCCAAAATGTTGTGGGCCGGCCCTGGGCTTGTGACAGAAACTGAATTCAGTGTAGTGTTCTATATCCAGGGGTCATTGAGTAGACCATTCTCCCAACTCAGGAACAACAAAAGCTTTATGCTTTCAGTTATGCTCTGTGCATTACTGGTAACTTAAAGAAGTGAGCTGCTCAACTTGAACACTTTAGGGTTTTTGGTGTACCTTCGTGAGTGCTGGATTGTCTGGAATCTGCAGTGGTGTTGGCTGCAGGAAAAGACTGTTTGACTGTGAAAGTGTTAGGGGAGTGAGAAGGCTGCTGTATTTATATAAGCCCTGAGCATCTCTCATCTTTAATGGCTTTTATCCTTACAATACCCCTATCAAATAAGGAAGTGCTGTTATTCCCATTTTACATATGGGGGCTGGGTCACAGAGATCCCGGGACTATGCACAGGGTCCCTAAGGAAATCAGTGGTGGAACAGGAATTGAAACCAGGATTCCTGATTCTCTGACTTTCTCCTAACCCCTGGACTATCCTCTAGTTCAGTGGTTCTCAAACTTCTTGCATGCCAGCCAACACAATTCCCCTCTCCCTAGTGGTTACAGAAATTAAGGGAGCAGGGGGACAGGTTGGAGAATGAGTTCACCCCAGAGCCAGCCAGCTGCAAGGCTGGACACAACTCCCCATTTTGGGTGTTGCATCCAGGTTTAGCACACATGCCTCTCTGATGGAGACAGAGGAGATGATGTCCCATTATTACCACCATGTGTGGTAGGTTGCAGTGCCAATCAGATTTTGGCCCTTTGCTCCGTTGTCACTAAATTTGATAGGTGCTGCAATCTAGCGCATGGTGCTTCAGTGCTGCCAGGTTTGGGACCTGTCTAACTTGTGGGGTATTTTCTTGGTTTTTCTCTTTTTCAACATACCATCATCTCTTCTGTCTGGAGGTTGTGACCTACAGTTTGAGAAACTCTGATCTGGGGCCTTCTGTCCTGTAATGTTGAAATGATTCATAAACATTATTTTTGCCCAATTATACCCTGGCAAGTCAGGGAATTATCCTTATTTTACCAAAGCTCAGAGGGTTGTTCAAGGAAATGTGTCGAAGCTGGAAATATGACTCAGATTTCCTGGCTTTCTAGTCTGTGCCTTAACCAGCAGATCCTTCTCCTTTGAAGCAAATTATCTTCATTAAACTGAAATAGAGCGATTTTTACCAGAACCCCTCCGTGCTGTCTGCACCTTCTGTGTCAAGCATGAATCTATTACCATTGGTCAGGGATTTCAGAGTAAGAACCTAGCCTTTTGTTGCAGCGTGGCACAAGACCTGAAAACCATGGCTGTTTCACTGTGATAATCTTTTAGGTGGTCCCAAGCACTTTCAAAAATAGTTGCCACCTTCTCTTTGAACATGTACACCAGTCTTTATTTCTGCATATCCTCCAGAAAATGTATTTTGAGGAAAAGACCCTACCGTTGTCCAAACAGCCTGAATTAAATCACTCTTCCTTAAGCATGATTTAGTCTTAGGTGAACACCATTTTTTTACACCTTTACAGCAGAATTATTTTTTTCTTGTATAACACAAGCTTACTTTGGTCCTGCTCTAGACCCTTATGGCCAGAAGGAACTATTATGATCATCTTGTCCAGGGATTCTCAAACTGGGGGTCATGACCTCTCCCTGGGTTGCAAGCATGGGGGGGAGGGTCACAAGCTGTCACCCTCTACCCCCCAAAACCCTGCTTCGCCTCTAATATTTATAATATAGTGTTAAATACAAAATCTCCCTGTTTTTGATTTATAAGTGTCTCACTCAGAGCCTTGCGGTGTGAAAGGGGTCATTAGTACAAAAGTTTGAAAACTACTAATCTGGTCTGACCTTCAAGCCCATTGCAGGCTAGGGAGCCTCATCACCTACTTCTGTAATAGGCCCATATTCTCTGCTGAATTACTGAAGTCCTCAAATCTTGATGTAAAGACTTCAAGTTACAGAGAATCTACCATTCACTCAAATTCAAACTATCAAGTGACATGAGCCCCATACTGCAGAAAAATGCAAAAGAACCTCAGGGTGTCTTCCAGTCTGACCTGAAGGAAAATTCCATCCTGACCTCAAATATGGCAGTCAGTTAGACTTTGAATGTGTGGGTGCAGGAAATAATTCTATGCAATCGACCTTTTTAAAATTTTGATATTTTATCCCTATTACTGTTTACCTCTCTTGTCCTTACCTACTTTCTTTCAAATTTTTTCTAATACCATGTATGCAATTGAGTTCAAACTAACAGGCTTGTAATTTCCTGGATAATTTGTGTTCTTTCTTGAATATAGTACCTATATTTGTAATTATCCAGTTATAGGGTATAACTCCCGAGTGTAAAGATTCATTGAAAATAGGTTCTGTGGAGCTTGTAATTTCATATGCCAGTTTCTTTGACACTTGTTCATAGAATGTATCCAGGCCACCTGATTTGGTCCCATTGAAGTGCTTTAGTTTGGCTTCCCCTCTGGGTATTTTTGTATCCTTGTTCCAGTTAGCCACCCTGCTACTGTCCCAAACTCCTCATTACCCTGAGTAAAACTGAGGCCAAGTGGTTGTTCAGGTGTTGGGCCATAACTCAATTATTTGTAATCTCCGTCCCACTCTCTATATTTAGCAGTCCCATTTCCTTGTTTTCTTTTATATGGCTAAAGAATCATTAATGTTTTTAATTTCATTTTCAAGGTCCAACTCTGCTTGGTTTTTGGCA